TATCATATAATGTGTCATTATTTTTTTAACTTATCTTTTATGGTTTGTTTTTCAATTTATATCTCTTCAACTATTATCATTATTTTTTCTATTGATCATCCTCCATAATATTTATTAATTATATAGCGCGAGGATGAGAATACCATCTTCAAGTTTTGTGGGTGAGTTTTTTTATTTTTTCCAAATCATACCGGATGCTCTAAATTAGAATAGTTTGTTCAAAAATCAAGTACAGTACCCCACCTAAACATAATAGTGCATAAATTTTAATCTTATAAATTTTAGTCACCAACCATCAATACTACCCGGTCCAACTCAACTCTTTTCTTCTATTATATTATATTAGAGCACAATCTCTATCATAATATATATAATATATATATATATAATTACAGATGTATTCACTAATATATATATATGAACTAAATAACTTATCAAAGTTAGCTATTTTATTTTTCGTAGTGGGTTTTGGCTCAGTAAATTTGCAGTTATTTAGTTTCAAGCCTAGTCAAACATTAAAAATATATTAGTGTTTTGGATGTTGGTGCCTTGAGTACACTATGTGTTGAGTTTACGAACTTTAAGAAACGAAAATAAATATAAACTCTAACTACTTTAATTGTTTAAGATATCGTGTCAATTAATATTGGTGTATATTAAGTGGATTCAAGCTACAAATACCTATGAGACAAACTCATAGTTAATAAGTAAGTTTCAAAATAAATTAGTCATAACTCAATTATAAAGTCATGAAGTTTTATCTTTTCAACTAAGTGGGGGGGATAGATTTTATAACCAATGGAAAAGTCAGGTAAAGAGGATCTAGTAAATAACCTTTAAACTAACGAAATAAAATTTTGACAATGGGGGGGGTTGAATATTTCTACTGAGCACATAGTTATATTTCAGTGTTTTTCGGATTACAAAATTTATAAATTGACAGAGATGTTATTTTAGGACATAAGTCATAAATATTTAAGAGAAAATAAAAAATACACAAAAAACAAAAATATAACGCAGGATTATGTGGAGCCCCTTATAATAAAATAAACTAACTTTTAGGATTTTTTATTTTGTTTAAATTCCTTAACCATTTAAAACCTTATGATAGGGGAGTCTTTAGGACATTTTTCTCGTTATAATTTTGCCAATAGGATGTCGATGAATTATTTATGTGTAGGTATTATATTAGAAGTTACTTTGGTGAGATATTCTGTGGATGTGTACAGAATGAAATGGATAAGAGTTGGATTGATTTGCCAAAGCACTGCTCGAGTGATACATTAATGGGATTGATGAATCCTTGTGTTTGCCTACACCAATAGGGATATAGAAGGTTCGATGATCAGTTGTCCGAATGTCAGTGAAGAATCAGTGTAGAAGTCGAATACTGGCTATTATTTTGTACGAGACTGCGTGTAACGGGAGCATCTGATTTTTTGTGGAATGGTTTTTTATTAAAAATATACAAACTTGGAATTTAATCATGGAGGGAATCTACATTATCTCTGCATAGTAACTCGAGAGAAATGAAACATTAAGCTAATTTAGAAACATTGGAGATTGATATGATTGAATGATACAAGGGGGCTTATGGGAAATCCACATGTCGGTTACAGTGTTGAGGTGATGAACCACAGGAGGCCTGATCCCCGTGCATCTGAACCCCAGCCGGTCCAAATGCATTGGACTAGAACAGTAATTTTCAAACTTCTTCAAGAAATGCACAAAAGTGAATTGTATCGCGGGTTGTCAGAAGTTCACAATCTTTGTCATTCATTGTTCGACTTATTAGCATTTGAAAGGTGCTTAATCAGTGGACGGACAAATCCATGTTGACATGTTGCTTGAGTTTTTATTTGAATGAGAAGGCGTTTCCGTTGGGTGTGGAATATACGTGCCTGTGAAAACTCGGTCAATTCATAATTGATAATGAGTAGGGCTCAAAAAGGTTCTACACCACAATTGATTTTGGGTGTCTATCCCTACGAAATGTGGGTAATAATGGAGACCTGTACGCCGGATGATAGAGTACCTATTGGTGGGAACAGTTGCGATGTTGATAATTTCGGCGTTAAACGTATGAGAAGGGAGT